ATTGGTTCAACATGTCTACTTTTCAATTTCGTTCTTCTTCAGAAAATGGAATTGATCTAGAATTCATCTTGAAATAAATATACAGGGTTCATCAGGAATCGTACGTACAGTATGATTTCTGTATTCCAAAGTAATCGTCGTGAAATATCATTTCATAAAATCATTTTCTGTAGAAAAGTATCTATTTACTTACACTGGATTTTAATCACCTGAAAACCCCATCTGCTGAAAAAGTTCTTGAAAACTGTGGTTAGAAGTATAGTAATTGAACCTTGAAACGACGAGCAGCTGTATTTTACCGAGTACTTCTGATATATACTGCTCTGAGTGGAATAAAATGGACCAGTTCAGTCAAACCCTTCCAGTAGAAATATCTGTAAAACCTTCTTTTCAATTTTTCATGCTTACAATAGTGCTTGTGATGTTTGGATCTCCAATCATGAGGATAGCCGAGAGAAGGTTCCTCTCTCGTCTTTCGTCATATTATTAACTCACAGACGACACACAAGCCCTATTAGCCTTAAACAGACAACGTGTTACCTCAGGGCTAGTACTAGAGTGTCACCAAGATTTAGCCTAAGCCTCGGTAGATAATAACATTATCCTGAGGTGGGTTAAAGGGCACGACAGGAGTAAAAGTAATCGCATTGCCGAATCTTTAGCCAAGGAAGCGGCTGGGCTAAGAACTTTCGGACCCAATGACACCTACGGCCTGATGTCAAAGGATGCAGTCTTGGGCGGCCATGGGAAGCTGGCGCCGAAGAAATATCTGCCGATGAATGACCAGGAAAACCCCACGCTTAATAATAGTATTTCTGACTGGCCACTGTCAACTTAGGAAACACCTCAATAAGGAGATGTCTCCTGGTGAACTATCCACCTTCTTAGAAAGGACAGGATAGAGATGACCTAGGAGGACATCTTCTCGGGAAGATGTACAATGTGGCCTAAGTGCTGCAGGCCTACACTCACCCTCCCTACTCTACAGATACAGAACTAATAGACGAAGTCTATGTTGACGTAGTCGTCATTGCCATTGCTTGAGTGTGATATTTATTTTGAAGTGAAATTGACAAATGAAACAGATTTGACACCTCTGGACTTTTTTATGGGGCTATTTGAAGCAAAAGGTGTACGAAACTGAACCTGCTTAAATATTGCATATACGGCAGAGAATAATAAATATTCGTAGAGATATTGACGTTACTGTGTTCGAAAATGTTCGGCGTGAAATATCGGATAGGCTGTTCATATGTCAAAAAGTTCAAGGCAACCATCTTGAACATCTTTTGAACTGACCTCAAGCTCATTACCTCATATTATGTAGTTGAATGTCAATGTTTTCAGGGAATTATTGAAAGTTTCGCAATTTTGTAGTAGTTGAAGATATTGACATTATATTCTAGGATTGTGAAGCATTTTTCAGGAGCTTCAAAAAGATGTGTCACAAGACCCGCCTTTCCATTAAATTTTTTTTTCCAGAAGGCGCTCAGTCGCCATCTTGAAAGTTTCATCTGTCAATTTCGCTTCAAAATAAAGTATTCATGCATTAATTTCATTATCCCAAATTTCAATTTTTTGAGTTGACTCGTTCAAAAAATTAAAAAAGGGGCGGGACGTTAAAGAAATGCACTATATAATGAAGCTTCGATAAGTAAACAGGGCTGGACTTGCCCTATTTACAACAATATCATCAGTTATTTCTTTTAGATATTTCATTAAACGCTATACATACCGTCTCTTATATTCTATTGTCGAATACCAGCGTGACCCAGTTCTAGCTCCATGCATTTCTCGAATTCTCTAGCTGATTATTGAGTCCACTCAACCGGAGAGCCCTAACGTCCGGAAACTTCCGTAATAATCAGGCCCCATTCTATTCCACCGAGACTACGCAATGCGCACTTTTTCAAAAGCTTGAACTCAAGAAGTTTTCGAACAAGAAGGCAATCCCTTTTTTTAACAGGCCTATCCCTTGTTTGCTTCTCTTTTCTATTTTTGTTTATCTCACTCGTTTGACGTTCTCAAGGAAAAAGATGATCAAGTGTGAGTAGAAGATGCATTACAAAAATTTTGTGCCAGCGCTACTCATGAGTTTGAAACGATATTCGAGAAGGTTTCAACTAGTCATAAGATTCATTGCGGTTTATTCAGGTCGAAGTTAATTATTGAGTTGAAGGGAAAACAGACTATGAAAATTGTAAAAATTAGATAGAAATAAAGAAATAATAGAATGGGAGAAACAACGTAATGATCCACGACCAACCCTAAGGAAATCTACAGCATCACCTTGACGAAAGAACAGCAAAAGTGCTGGTTTTCAGTTGGCCAACGCGTGTTTCCCTAATTAAGTTAACATCATCAGGAGATGACTAATCAATCTTAGTCATCTCCTAGAGACCCATCAAAGTAATGGAGATTAACTTCAGGAATTGAGTACTATAACTTCATGGGGTCCAGGAAGGATAGGGTAGCAGAGAAAGGGATAGATTTGGGAAAGATAACGGGTAGTGTAGGCTCATTTCAATCATATTTATAAGTCTCGTTCATAAGACTTCATTTACAAAGTGATGCTATCAAAAAACTTATGCATTTCTCAAATTAATTCAATAATAATAATCATACTACATCTTCATGTGTAAATTTGTACTGATATGTGTAAATTTGTGCTGAAATGGGAAATGCAGAATATAAGTTGGTTGTAATGAAAGATGCAAACTCTGTTTTTTCTCTTAGGCAAAAAAATATGTAGGTAATGAGAAAGATTATATCCTACATAAGTGTATAGGACAGGTATGTAAACAACAATGCCTCATGTCGGGTAAAAAAACACAGAAAAAACATTCATAAAGTGTTCCAGCTATTACAGGTGCATTCGATAATCGACAACATGCAGGTGGATCAACTGCATACTAAGTGGTAGACTGATATACACTTGTGTAACATTTTTTGTTACATAACAATGAAAATACTGACATTTTGGTCATCCTAGTCTATGGCAGATATTAATAATACAGCTGAAAAATGAAACAGGGCCTTGTACTTTGGATTGAGGAAAAACGTCTCAATATAAGTTCATCCAAATCGAGTGTAGTTCCGAAATAATCCAAGTAGGAGGACTAGGCTATCTAATAGTAGACAGATAGTAGACAAGCTCTATTAGCCTTGAACAGGCGTGTTACCTCAGGGCTAGTACTAGAGTGCCACCAAGATTTAGCCATAGCCTCGGTAGATAATAATATTATCCTGAGGTGGGTTGAAGGGCACGACAGGAGTGAAGGTAATCGCATTGCTGACTCTTTAGGCAAGGAAGCGGCTGGACTAAGAATTTTAGGACCCAGTGGCACCTACGGCCACTGATGACTTCGACAATTGCGGAACTAGTCAAATGTTACACCCATGCTCAATCCTTAAAGAGATGGGATGGAATCAAAGGATGTAATCTTGCCAGGATCACCTTGGGCGACCCTGGGAAGCTGGCGCCGAAGAATATCTGGTGATGACCAAGAAAAATCTACGCTTAACAGTAGAATTTCTGACTGGCCACTGTCAACTAAGAAAACACCTCCATAATATGGGGCTAGTGGACACACCTCTATACAGGATGTGTGAACAGGAAGATGAAACTGTCAGGCATGTCCTATGCGAGTGTCCGGAGTTATCGTCAATGAGAGAGTCTGTGTTCCGCGAGTCTTGGCCTACGCCTGCCGATTTGAAGGAGATGTCTCCCAGTGACCTGTCGACCTTCCTGGAAAGGACAGGATGGACGATGACCTAAGAGTACAACTCCTCGGGAGGATGTACAACCCTCTCCACTCTACAGATACAGAGATAGGATATCTAAAACTTTCAGTTAAATAATACAACTGTCGGAAAAGATCTGGGAGTGGTACTAGATCACAGATTGACCTGGAACCAATATTAGACAGGATAAACTCAAACTGGCCAGATATGGGACATAAAACTGTACAAGATGTATCGGCTGTACACAATGGTGGTGAAACAAGAGTCTACTGTCAACAAACTAAGCAGGATATTAGTAGGGTTGGAATAAGAATATATGAAGGAACAAACATGAATGGATCACCGTTCATAAACAGCCAAAACGTACCGTGAAATTGATGGTATGGAAAATATTCTCTAAAATTCTGAATGAAAGTAGCAATAAAAGTTGTTCAGTCTCAATCATATTTTGGTTTGTGATTGTTTTGAATCGTTTTAAAAACAAATATCCAACGGTATGATCTACTTTTGACAGTATATGTGTTGATACATTCTACGTAGATACAATTATCATTTTTGAGATCCATTCGCGAATTTTATAAAACTATAGTGGTTCAACTAGAGATGATACAATATACAAGGTGAATCAAATGTCAAAATTCAGTCATTGTGAATTACTACACAGTTTGAAAACGATAGTAAGCAGCCAAAACATAAACATTCAGTGGATATATTATAACGATGAAATGCATGCATTCTCAGTGTTTTTCTTACAGTCTTAAGTGACATTTCCATCCATTTCGCTACTATTCGTAAGAAGCTCATGTGCTCTCTAACACATATTCTCAAACCTCAATTTGAACTTCTTCATTTAGTTCTCACAAAAGTGATTTTTTCATAGTTCTCACTCAGCCAGTTTCGGAAAACTTCGTTAACAATTGAACAATATATCTCCAACTCATATCATGATTTGAATTTTATTCATTGAACAAAATCGCTCATCATCGTGCGTAATTTTCAACATCTATATAAATAAAAGTCGGGCCAATTTGTTATTAGACAAAATTAACCACTTCTGCAGTTTTTCGAGGTTATGACCGAATAGCACAACATATGAAATTTTGTCATTGTGTCATTGGATTACAGAATTGATTTTTTTTGGGGGAAGTTTCCTGTTTACTTGTTGGAACCTATTTTTTACAACCCTAGGTGCTCCTTAGAGTATTGGTGAAAATCTACACTCTTCACAAAATTATTTTCAATATTAAAAAAAGTGCTTTTTGGACTAAGTACCAAATATAATGAAAAATTTGATAATAACAATTTACTCACTTATAATATACTCATACAATACTCTGAAGAGATTACAGATTTACAAAAATAAATATTAAGTCGATATATGAAAGGCACATTGGAAAACATTGATAGAATCACATGTGACGGGTATTTCCAAAACCTCCGTGACCAGCCTGAGAGGCACCTTTGTTGTAGCCCATCTGAAGATTTAGATGCCCCTCGCTAGCCCTCAGTTGTTCCTCGGTGAAAGTCCTCTCATTCTTGTCGGCCATTTTAGGGCCCAGCGTTGGTCCTGTCCACTCAGGATGTTTTTGAGTGATACGACCGAGAGCAAAAAGAGATATTGCTACCTGAAAACGAGAATATACATTAAACTGATAGTTAAAACAGTTGAGACAGTTGGGAGTTTGAAAAACAAATAAATAATGAACACTGATCAATCTAGAGGGTTTTTTGGGTGACTAGCGGTCTATTTCCGATTTGCTGGTTTCTCCTCGCTGTGTGTTTCTATTGTTCTTGGCGATGCGCACTTTCAATGGTCTGCTAGTTTCACCGATATACGATTTGCCGCACTCACAGGGTATCCGGTAAATGCCGTTCTTGAAATCGCAGTCCACATTTGATGGTCTGGTTTTCGTGCTGTTACAGATGGTGTTTCCGGATCTGAAGTAGGTTCTGAATTGTACTGGGACCCAATGTTTCCCATCCTTTTCGATAATTCTCTGGCGTAGGGAATTAAAAGAACTGATTGTGATGGCTTCTCCTCCTTACGAGGCTCTTGGCTCTAGCCAAAGTATGTTCCACCATCATTTGGAGTAACCATTCTGTTGAAGACCTTTTCTGATGATGTCTAGTTCCTCTATGAGGTCTTCCTTCATATTACAGAGACCGAAAGCACGATCTATAGAAGTCTTGATGATTCTCTTTTTGTTAGATTGATGTTGGTTGGATCCATGTGAGAGGGTTTTCGGTATACCAGATGTTTCTCACCCAATGTCGGTCCTCTTCACAAGTATGTCTAAGAATGGCCATTCGTTGTGGACTTCTTACTTCATTACGAAATTGACTGAAGGTTTTTTGCTGTTGATGTGCTTCAAAATTGTGTCTGTCTAGTTCTGTATCCCCATGGTTACATACCATGAAGGTATCGTCAACGTATCTCAACTAGACTTGGGGCTTTTTGTGGCCTTCTTCAATAGCCAGTGTTTCAAACTATCCCATATATATTTTGGCTATAACTGGTGAAAGTGGCGATCCCATTGGCAGTCCCTCTTCTTGCGTAAAGAATTCGTCCTTCAGTTGGAAATAGATTTGTCTTTGTGCAAGTTATCTTAAAGAATTCTGTACGCCTCAACGTTCTACCCTGAACATTGAACTCGATTTTGGAATAAAGCTCTGGGCAGTGGACTAATCCTTTCATCAACTTGTAAATCATGATAAGATTCGTAACAGTTCTTTTATCCTTCATAGGCATAATATTGTATTGGCGCATAATGGGACTGTAATCCCTATTCGTAATTGGAAAATTTAATTTGTGACTAATGTAGCGAAGACATTTGTTTTGGACTCTCTCAATACGATCTATGTTTATGTGGTACTGGGGATTACAAACAATGGATGCAAAGCAGAACCTATTCTGTACATATGCATAATATAAATTGAGGAGAGGTTTGCCGTTCTGAAATTTTTTAGTTTTTTTTGTGGAATCCGACAATACTATTACTTTTATTGACGGTATATACTTATTTCTATCCTATGTAGTTTTGAAAGAAAACTAAATGTAGGTTTATTCACAACAAGTATAAAAATTGTTATACTTAAGTTCCATATGAGTGAACAAAAAATCGAAAGATAATATATTTTTTACGAATCATTTGGAAACCACTTTGGAATTTTTTCAGGTTAGTTGTATTAAACAATCTACAAATTCACTACTAGTTGAAATTTCAAATTTCTATAATATTGCTGTTCCATTGTTTTGGTTGCAATATTTTTAAATATTCATGGATAGATCATATACCAAATTTCTACTTTATCTTTTACTTTATTAATGAGCCCGAAATCGGGCTGTCCCTGAACTGTTGTTTGAGAAAAAGTAATATATGATATTTTTGAAAACAATGAAGGTTGAAGAAATACTTCAGAAAGTAAAATTATTTCTCCTCAGATTACCTATTTTATATTCTCCATTAAAGGAGATAAAAAGGGTAAAAAGGCATAAGTATCTAATATTGGTCACATTTCATTCTGAGAAGCAGTACATCCCATCATTTTCATTTGAAAGTTTCACCCCAGCAAAAGAAAAAATGGAAGTTTGGTCTATGAACCATCCATTTCAAAAAAAGCTTTTGAGCTCTTCACTTCTCTATCTTTATACAAAAATGCGGGAAACCAAAGGAAGAAGAAAGCAACCAGGTTCCTAATCGATCAAACTAGAACCTACCATACTTAAACAGAAAACTAGAATGAATCTCCTCTTACCTGTGCAATATTTCTCTTCTCGAAAAGATCAGCAGTCTGAAAAATTTCCTCCTGAGGCAGCCCGTAAGCTTTAACAGCGGCCTGAAACCTCTGAATGTTTTCCATCAACTGAAAGTTGGTTCCTTTAGACTGGATTTTCTTGACTGATCCCGGAGCTAATTTGTTGATGAGGTTGCACAGCACCACACCGTCCCGAAGGATATCTTCAAATTCGCCTTTGGGTACGGGTTCTCCCAAACAGGCGAAGATCCAGTTCAGGACTTCGGATTCTAGTTCCTTGTTGCGTTTCTGTGAGAGAAAAATTGAAGTGAAACATTGGATGATTCGAACATTTGGGACAACGAATCATTACCTACACATATGTTAATCAATACCTGATGCGATGAAAAACATAATTTTTTATAGCAACCTTTTCTTTTACAAGTGAAAAACGAAGACAAATCAGTTAACTTTTGCGTTCAAGTATGTTCCTGTTTGGATAGTAGCTAGTACTCGGTACATCGAAGAGAGACAGCTATACAGACGTGAGTCTGTATAGCTGAGCTGACTTAGACTTTGTCTGATAGTTGTCTGAATATTGGTTTCACGTCGTGGTTCTTTAAGATTGTCCGAATTCGGTCTGTAACATTTTCAACATAGGAAAGGAAACCTTTTTCCGTGACCAGCCTAGCTGGGGTTACTTTGACGTTCTCTCTCCTGGGCCGCATGGCCCGCTCGAATTCTCCTTCGTTGTACCCATTTCTTTCAAAGGCATTTTTCAGGTTAGACCGAGAGCCCGTGACAGAATTTTTGACCCCATTTTTTACCGTCTGCCTTTTTCAGGGGACATATTTACAGCCACAAGCAACAGTATTATGCGTTAAACGAATTTTTTGCCACATAATTAAAATGTCCTGCGACAACTGTTGGCATACAAATTGGCAATGTTTTAAGTATAGTCAGACGCAAATGGACTTGCAAAAAAAATAATAACTCATACCAACATTTTACCGTCTGCCATTGTTTCCTTGCAATATATATGATTCTTAAGTAGACGAATTGTCAATTGCAGACGAATTGACCGTGTTTATACAACTGAAAAAAATATTTTTTCATTTGTTAAAAAAATTAATAACTTTGACCAAAGTTTCACCGTCTGTCATTGTTTCCTTGCAATTAATAAGATTATAAAGTAGACTAATTATCAATTGGCAGACGAGTTGAACGTGTTCATAAAACTGAGACATATTTTTTGATTTGCAGAAAAAAAAGTAATAAGTTCGACCAACGTTTTACCGTCTGCCATTGGCAGTTACACTTGAGAATGAAGTTCTAGCGAATAATGACAATTTTTCGCGAATAGATTACCATACTTTTTCCATGATTCACAACAGAAATATTTCAATATAGAATTCATTTGTGAAGGATATCATGAATCAGAGTATTACTATAGAATTCCATAACAAGAAGTAATCTAAAAAGGCCTTAAAAATACTTTCTTTTTTGCTACTCTATTCAAGTTTAAATTGCTTACACGTTAGTGTGACATAGTGGTAGTGTATATTACTGGAGTTTTTTCCCAACACCAAACCGTTATTTTAACACCTCGACACGTGTTTCGATCACCATCTTCCAGAGGAAGATCAAACTGTGGTAGTCTGATGATTAGGTTTGACGTTTGTGAACATATTTTGACATAATTGTAGGACACCTATAAAGTGGTGAGTTATGAATCAGGTGAATTGTTATTTGTTCGAAACTATAATTTATGGATCATTTTGGCTACTCAACAAGAAACACTGTAAAACTGTAAAAGTAATTTGTACCAAATAGCATAATATCTCAATTTGACATGCATAGACGTAAGTAAACATTGTAAATAATTATATAGCTGTTCGTTTCTTCTTGTACATTGAAAATTCGAAACTTCAGCCCACATAAATTTATATTTTGATTGATTTGGCACCGCAACCTTCGTCAGTTTTATTCACAAAGTGGAAAATTAAATGATGTAATCCCCGTAATGAAATTTTCGTAACGCACGGTTAAAAATAAACCGTTTTTAGAGATATTTTCGTTTATGACGACGGTGTATTTTTGGTCTGCTGTATCTGTTTGCTGTCTCTTAGGCTTTGAACCGAGAAAGCTTCAGTTTCAAAATAATATATTATATCGTGATAAATGAATGCATCTATAAACAAATAATACGAATGAGCATTTATGTTGAGTATATTTTACCTTTTTCTCATGAAATTACTGAAGAAATAACTAGATGATTTGGTGAGCCTCAACCATCCGAAATGAATTATTTCTCCCAAAAAAATATTAAAAGTATACCCAAATGCAAACACAGCTCCAACTTTGTATTATACAATATCCTCAAAAGAGCATACAAATATGAATATATTTTTCAATACTGAAATGTTTTTCGGTAACATCATTGTTAAGAAAAATAAAAAATGTAACACCCGAGTTATAAGTTAAATTGGAAAAGCATGGTAGCTGGAAATCGGGTAGTCTCGTCTAAGGCTCGGATATTAAACCACTTGGAAAATGAACTAAAATTTTACAGCCCTTGGAAATACAATCTCGAGTCACAACTAGTCTTGACTGGGACTACCTTTATCAAAGCCACTACAGGTTCAACAACTTCTACTACAAAAAACAGTAGTATTTTTCAATAATAACTCTAATGCAATATATCAATGATTCAGAATAGGATTTAAAAAATATATTTTCCATGAAAGTGGATTACTCGTGAAGTTTTGAACTTATGAAANTTTGACGAAAGATTTAGCAAGTATAAGTGAAATAACACAATCTCGCAGACGACAAAAAATAAGGCATGCTACAAAAGGTAGTTGAGAGAATACATTTTCTGCAGATTTTAATGATGATTCAGACAATTTTCTCTTGGAAATATCCAAAGAATTCGGTGAAAATTGAATTATAGTGATGCAGTTGTAAAAAAAAATTACATTTGAACCATATTGCCTTCTTTCAAACCAATAATTTTTTGTCCAAGCATTATATGCCAATTTTTTTATTAACAAGCGTAGAAATTTATAACTTAATGAGTGTAAAATGAATATCTTGGGAACAGAAAATGAAAGGGGCGTACTAATGGGGCGTACACTCTTGGCTACTAAAAAAAAATAAAAATTCCCACTCACCGACATGTTGATCAAAGTGTTAAATCTTGTGGCGTCGCGATGCTACTGAGGCGTCTGTGCTCAGCTGTTGAGCTATATGCAGGCAGAAAGCGTGGGTGTTCACACTTGTTTCCAACCATCATTCATTTGAAATCATATTCGAGTTTCTTCAGGATTGGGAAACCCAATTGATATATCGAAAATAAAAATTGGCATGGTGCACACGATTGTTGGCAGACGAATTATTTTATTCGGGGTTCATTCCTGGTAACGACGCGCTGTTTTATTTTTTGTTTACGATACGAGGTTTTTTAATGTAGCGAATAATTTGTCGAAGGATTTCAATTTGTAAACTTTCGGTTTCATTCATGGGGATTTCATTCATCGGTAGGGAAGTCATTTCAATTCTACAGTAGACAGGTGAAGATTATACGAGGTGCTTCATATGCAAATGCCGGCGTTTTATTTTTCGATTTTTGCTTTAGCAAAGATTTCACTCTCATATAGTCAGCAATATTGAGATTATGTTCGATGTGGCATCGAAAATTGTATTTCTTGAATAATTCCTCAAAGTAAACTAACACACCCTTTTCAGAGAATAATTTGATGCTATTTGAATATCGCCACTGTTTATATTTTCGTATGTTGTCTCATACTTTAATTTGGGTTTCTTTAGTAAAACCCCACGCTTAATAATAGTATTTCTGACTGGCCACTGTCAACTTAGGAAACACCTCAATAAGGAGATGTCTCCTGGTGAACTATCCACCTTCCTAGAAAGGACAGGATAGACGATGACCTAGGAGGACATCTTCTCGGGAAGATGTACAATGTGGCCTGAGTGCTGCAGCTCACCCTCCCTACTCTACAGAGACAGAACTAATAGACGAAGTCTATGTTGACGTAGTCGTCATTGCCATTGCTTGCCTGTGATGTTGAATGTTACAGAAACTGTACCCAACTAATTTGAAACAGATTCTTTCGCATCCACAACTTATTCTAGTATCAAGCAGAATCTCCTGGCATGAATACAGTGCATTTCTTCAATGTCCCCGCCCCTTTATTTTTTGAACGGGTCAACTCAAGAAATTGATATTTGGGATAATAAAATTAATGCATGAATATTTTATTTTGAAGTGAAATTGACAGATGAAACTGTCAAGATGG